GTACATATACATATTATAGTATATTAGTAATTAAAGATTTTACATAATTCAAATTGTATTGTGATCTGTAGCTTTCGTACAAGTAATATGTCCATGTTTTTAACTAAATTTCGCATTCTCCGGATCGCGGTGAATCAAAGTGTTAAGCATACACGATTTGGTCAAGTATACAGAAACATTTTTAACATGAGAAAGATGTTTCTCGCATCGAAGGTTAAATATTTCTCTTAAACGTTATACCTGCTTGACAACTGGCATTTCCGTAAGGTTTTCCACCTCCGGTGATATGCGGGGATCTATTCGAGAAAGAGAGGAAGGATTTGAATCTCACGGAAGTCAAGGCGCGAGTTAATTTGTCACTTTCTTGACTCTCGTACACAATTTCCTTTCCTCAGGCCCTGCGAACATCTTCCTCATTATCTTCGGAATAAACGACCGTTAACAGGGACGTTTGACGTCGGTTAGGCCTAAGAGTGAGGCGAACGTGCGGATTGTAATCGTAGAAACGGTACTTCTCTTCTAGGTATCAGAGACACGAGGAAGCGAAACACGATACTTAAATAAATGCATTATAAAGGTGTTGATTTTAGAAACATTTTGCGCGCGAATGATTGTTTCCGGGAATATGATGGCATTAATTCACTTTTCGATTTCCTTCAACAAAGGAAAATCAGCTCGACTGTCGTTTATGATGACACATTTTCTAAAACAGCGCGCGCGTTGATCATATAAGTTCAACTTACTAACTTTTACGTGTAATTCGATGCATTAATTATTTGAAAATGATCATCTCTCCGAGTAAATAAACAACATTGTTCTCACTCTTGTTATCCAGGCAACCAAAGTTTCTAATCCGCAAAAATGGACGAGACTGTTCCATCAATGTCCTATAACGTGGATTCGCAGCAGTTTTGCGAGGGATCCGCTGGTAATAAAAACGTATTGAGACCGCGTATGCGTTCGCATAAAACGTAAAGCGATGTACGCACGTACGTCACAACGGAGCAGGGTAAAAATTTTCGGCGGTCCCAGATGCGGTCGGTCGATCGAACTTTAACGTCGTTTACAAGCGGCTTCTCTCGGACGGTCGCGTTCTCACGTTCCATTGCAAAACTGTCGAAACTGTCGAATCGCGGACAAAGGGTGTATAATACGAAAGTTACAAACAGAAGTGGAGGACACAGAATGAGAGTGAGAGAGAGAGAGAGAGAGGGGGGGGAGGGGAAGGGTGAAATGGAGAGAGGAAGAGGAAAGAGATAGACGTGTCGGTGCGAGCATGAGTATACGAGCTGCGATATGAGTACCGATGCAAGTTCTTGGAGCGTATAATATTCCACGTGCGAGTTGTCACTTCGTGACCGCATTTCAGTGACTAATGAGCGCTTTCGAAAGCACGTTAGGTACTGTCAGATACACGGCTGCTGTGCAATGCCATGGCGAGCTTCTGTGAGGGGATCGTGATGTATATACATACATACGCGTATACATGTACGTACGTGAACGTGTACGTGTACATGCACGATGTTATACATGCGCTTGTCGAAGATAGAAGTGAAAATCGGGATTAGGGTGTGCTGAACAAGCTGCGCTTGTCTTGAATAAAAAATAATTCGAAAAATGTATCGGAACGATACGATATTTAGAACTATTGGCAAATTTACAGCTATTAAAGTTTGATGTGGTCTGAGTCGATAATAGTTTCTGTGATATTTTGTAATGGAATACGTTATTTTTTATTATTATACATGTAACGTTCGCCATTCATATCTTAAGTATAAATAATAATGTGATTATTTTTGTCACTTACCGTAAATAATATATTTTGTTGTTGTCAAGAAGTTGTTTGAATTGTTGAATGCATTAGATAAATAGGATTAAAAGGATTAATTCAGATTAATCGGGACTTATTGGAATAATTGATATTTAAAGAACAAGCCATATTTTTACAAAATACAAGAGGGAAACGTTTAATATTTACATATGTGAACAATGTATATAGTATTTCGACTAAGATTGTTGTTACAGTACTGTATACAGAAAAAATATATATAGGATACAGTGTGTAGGTACTTTAACAGTCGAAAATAAGATGTAAGTTTATTAAAATCATCTCACATAATATTTTGGACGCAATTGGTTGTTCGCTCGAAACACGAACCAGTTATTATTGCGATGACCAAGGGGGGATCATCATTAGTTTGCATTATCAAATAAATTGCAATGAAAAATTATAAAATATGGAAAAACGTTTTAAGCCGAAGATTATAATAAGAGCCTGTAAAACTCAAATGAAAATTTCATGTCAACATCAAATTGTCAACATTTTTGGTAATTTCTCCTTGTTTAAACAATTTAGCAAACGTATCTACTTGGATAAATTTCGATTTTATATTTCGTGATGTTTGGAATTCTCGTTGAAGCAAAAATTTATTGGAAAATATATATTTTATACTAGAGTTATGTATAAAAATATTTGGCTGAGGTGAATTATTTACGGTTATGAATTATTTACGGATGAGTATTTATAACAGTAGTATATGGAATTGTAAAAATAACAATTTTGTATTTTGATGACTTTTTTCATTGAAGAAAAATTTCATTGAACAAAAAATTATCTCTTGAAATAAGATGAAATATACACGTCAAAATAATTTTTATTCAAAAGATAAAAACACTCAATATGTTATGAAATAAAAATTTCGATTAATATTATGCAAACTAATGACTAATTTTTCATATGATAATTGTAAGTTAATCATTTTAGTAACAAATTACAAATAAAAAAAGTAATATATGCGATTTAAATATAATAGTACATAAACGCTTATTAAAGGATTATTTAATTATTTAGTGTGTTCACAGAACAATATATATTTTAAATTTGAGCCACTGCTTTCCAGATATTATTAGAGTTTATACAAATATATTTGTAACAAATATCAAACAGTAATCGAAGAGCTCCGTAGAAAAGTAAAACAATAGAAAGCACTTGTAGATGATAGAAATCTATAATAATTAATGTAAAACCGAATAAGTGCATTAATAAACTTACTTTTGAGTATACTTACTTCTGAGTAATGTACATAACAAAAATGTGTATACTATGATATTTATTATTATCAAAAAGTAAAAACACTTAGGAAGCTATTATAATTGTATGTTTTAGAGATCTAAATCGTATTATTATTCTATGGAGTTTCTTCGATTAGATACTTATAATTTTATTTAAAGCTTAATATTCAGTAGTTTATTTTGCACAAAAATTGCATATAAATATTGTTAATTAAAAATCGTCTCATTTATTAATGAAAATAATGATTAACTTGGATTGACATACGACATTCTAATATTAATTATACAAATTAATAATATAAATAATAGAGAAAGGACATGTAAGAGTCGGTCATAAAATTCGCACAAATAACAAGTTAATACAGAACAGTAATCATAAATATTTTACATCACTGTAGTTATTCAATGTAAAATATTTATACTCTCTTATGATATCTGAAGATGGCTCGAGCAGCTAAAACATGTTATGATTATTGTTCTAATTTAATTTAATTACAATTGATTTTTATGTCTTAATTTTTTAACTTGTTATTTATGCGAATTTTATAATCGACTCTTATATGCCCTTTATATTATTTATATTGTTAATTTAACATCAAGAGTCGTGGTATTGATTAATTTATTGTTAATTATACAAATTAATTATACAAATCATGCGTCATGTAATTAATTAATATTAATATAATATCGTTATTGTGCTTGTTTGCTTAATCCCTACTCTGATTTCCATTTTATCAGACTTGTATTAAGACGTATATTTTATGATGTATGTCAATAATGTCGGAGACGAATCAAGTTACAGTGCCACATGTGAGATTGCTCCATCAGAATTAATTGATGAACTATAAAAGAATTTTTTAATTCATCCGATATCTAAAATAATTCTCAATCATATTTAAATATACTTGAGAAATGTGACAAAAATAAATTAATTCCCTTTTTTTCTGTAAAAAAAAACTGCATGAAAATATTTTTATTTTTAATAATAATGTATAGTTAATTCTGAGAAAATAATCTCATTCACAAATCTAGCGCGTTCTCATTCGTATTTAGCACTATCTTTCTTTCATTATCTTCTTTCATTGTATTTCAAAAAAATATCATTCATTATGTTCGAATATTAACAATATTTGATTTCTCTAGAAAATATATAATATATAATAATTGACGTTTTTTTTTGTGACAAAAAAGAAATAATAATGTTGGTATATTTTGCAGATTAAATCCCCGTGCTAACCCGTGCTGACTTTCAACCCGTGCAAACATTTTGCCATAGCACCATGGATTTTGTCATATAAATCTCCGATTTTGAGAGTAACCAAATCTTCTCGTACAGATAATTGACACGCGATGGTGCCTTTTATAATTAGCAAAACAAAACTTATACCTATTGAGTCGCGGAAAAACACCAGTTACTATAATAATTTTTTAAATTTCTTGGGGATATACGGCACGGCACGGCCGTCCGTGGCGAGCAGATTACTATTCTAAATACGGGATCTTTACAACCTGGGAGTAACAATAAGTGCAATTTTATGTACAATAGTCTCTATCACTGCTGTGGATTTGTTCAGCGCGGCGTCTGCGCTTTACAACTTCGAAATGGCGTCCTTACAAGGCTTTACTTACAATCTGCGTGGCCAAACCGACCGATGATTTTGATTATTATCCCGTTGGATAGCCCAACGGCCCAATGTGATTTCTCGCGGGATTGCTGACGGACATCGCGAGCGCATATTTGTTTCATTTTCACGGTTAAGAGTCTTCATGCGTGAAACAATAATCGTCTATCCCGGGATCACTCCTCCTGTCAAACGTGGTCGCCCCAAACAGTCACCGTCTTGGCACGATCGACAGATGCCAAGTACGTGCCGTGTGGATGCCAAGACACGGCCGTTACCCCTGTCCTGTGTACATTTAAATGGCAAAAATAGATTAGTAATCATTGCTAAAGCATTCTTTGACGTTCTTTCAACTCATTAACGTAGCGAATAGTAATTTCTTCATTTTTCGTTTAATAGTGTCTTTTCAGTACGGCATACCCAATTTTTTTCAATGTTTCTTTAATACTTTTTCTATTGCATATATAACTTCTTTACTCGTATTAACAAAGATAGATATATTTAATGCTTGATACCGTTATGTTTATTAATGTCTTGTTTCGATTGAAAACAAATTGTTTACAATATATTCATTTTTGTGAAAATTATAACTAATCGAATTGGATTGGTTGTATCATATCCAAGTATCCTGTTTTTATAATGTTTTAATGATTAATTATCTTTATATTGGAATCCCAATGGAAAAAATCTCAATGACTGCGTTAACAAAGAAAACAGTTTTTTAACTATTGTAAAAATTTTTAACATGATTTGTTTATACATTTCGATTAGTGAGAAACTTATAGGCAAGATTAATCATATTAAATAATGTTACAACAGTTGCAGAGCTGCTTTCTTTGCTGAACGCAGCTAATCACCATTTTTGAAGTATAAATATATCGACAAATGAAAAATTTTATAAAAAATACATAGTATGGAATTATTATTTGTGTACATATAGTATTAAATTAGACTGCATCAATGATCTCTTAAGCATATACATATTTTAGTAAATATTTGTTTTTAATCATAAAAATACAGATAGATTAGAAACTTTTTCTAATATTATTTATTGAAACATAGTTGGTGTTATCTCGAAAACTTTGTTTGAAGAAATAAAAAATTAAAATTGTGATGCTTAATATAGATGGTGCTGAATAGATGAAATAAACTGAAAGGAATTTGCCTACCAATATCGAATATAAAAGTTTATCTCAATGAAAGAGATTTTTCTATTCAAACGAAATCAGTTTGTTTAGATATCTTTCAAAAAATGAAATATTTTCAAAATTTATGAAATGTGATCAAATTTATTTAATTATTTATGTCATTTTTAATTGACGAATTGCTGTAAATATCACGATTATGATTATTTAGTTATTATATATTGCAAATACATATGTATTATATTGATAGTCATTGTATAAAATTGTAAATTTTATTAATGTGATTGACTTCCGGTGCTTCGACCGATAGATGCAAAGAGAAAAAAGACAAAAGAAAAAATTGTAAGCCAATGGCTCGATTTGTACAAGCGCATTTTTATGAAATTGTGAATCGGTATATATAGAGCAGCGAGTTTTAAACAGCTACAGCCAAAAGCTTTCAGAGGCAGCTTTTTCCGTTTTCATCTCCTAACTTTTGTCTGGTGAATCTAATTTCCTTGGGCGCGACCCAGAATTATTTTGCCGCCGCTCGTAAGGGTCTTTCAATTATTTTGCTATTTTTACGAAAACGCCTCGTACAGCGTAAAAGGCAAACAGGAAAACGCTTGGGAATGCTGTATGTCGCACGTACGATGAACTCTTGAACCTTATGCAATTTAATTCTTCGTCTTTCCTCCCTGAAGAGCGTTGTGACGTGAGAGAAATAAAATGGGAAATGGAACGATCGTAGTAATGAACAACGAATAGGTTAAATATAAATATGATTTGCGTATAGCGGCTGGAATTTTTACATAGAAAAATTCGCGACCGCTTAAATCGTTTCGTTAAAGATTCCATTTGAACGTGGTGGAATATATAGCGCTACGTAATTTTCTGTCCGAGCGGCTGCGCTCGTGCAGCGAAAGGTCTATAAAACCTGAAATCCCGAGGGTGATTCGCAGGGCTTGGTGGAAATCATAAAAGGGTGTTTCTGTGCGAGGACAAACGTGCTGAAAATGGCATGCCTCCTGCCGTTCCCGGTTTCTAGCTATCCTGTTGAGAAATCCTTCACGAACGCATACGAATCAAGTGAATATTTTTCGCAAGGATAAAAAGCCAGATATGGAGGCACCCTGGAGGAGAGGAATCAGCTATAAACCTATGATTACAATTTTTATGAGTAAGCAAAAAATTCTAGATGCTTTCGTGACGAGCCTGTTAAAACTGCACAAACCAGAATTTACATTTTACGAAATGTAATGAAGCAACGCTTCGTTTTATTAGGTCACGAATTTTAGTATTACGATCTTTTTAAAGATATTCTTTATGGATTAAACATTTTTCCAAAATTTTTCAGCCACTCAATTATCTCGTAATAAAACGATAATCTCGTCAAAGTTTTGCATGCGGTTTTTGTAGTGTTTCATAAAAAATAATTCGATAACTGCGTATATTCAGCGATGCAATAAATTTACAGTAACGATACAATGAATAGAGAAATTCTAGAAATTCTAGCTTTCGCATTTGTTTGTAATTCTATGAATAACAAAGTGTATTTAGTAGAATAGACGGATAGAATAGTAATCGAATTGAATGACTGATATTCATTCACGATAGCTCATATGAGATTGCCAATTGTCGCTGTTATTTTCAGTGAATCGACTCACACATCAATTCTTTGTGAGAAACCAACCCAACGTCCATCAGTTTCTCATTATATAATTGATGCGTCGATTATATCCGTATAGTGTAATGAAAGACAATCTGATATTCCATCGTCATTGTTTAATCAGTACCAATACAATGAGAGAGAATACGCGATAGTTCGCTATCATTATTTGGAGAATTAGGCGGGAAATTAAACGTAACGTTTAACTAATTTTCCGACTATACATTAATGAAGTTTTGCGATGTGTAGTACATATTACAAGTTTGTTTTTCATTGTTCACAATGAACATGAAAATGAGATGTCTGCAGATAGTTAATTTTATATTGTAATTTTATGATTAATGATTTTGTAAGAGTATGATTATACATTTTAATTCGTAAATCAAGCAAAGTATATGTAGAACTTTACATATATATTTGGTCCAGTAGAAGTAACTTGCAGATTGTGCATTCAGGAGTAGAATCGTGTCATTCAGTGTAATACGTTAAGCGAAGAATACGTAGAAACGTGGTTAAGCCGTAAAAAGCGACGTATCGTTCTGTCACGGTTTGACTGTCGCGTTTATTCCCGCGCGAGGTTAGTTGCCCGTCAGGAAAAGCGAGCTTATGCTGCGGTGAAACAACAACGTAAGGGAAGAAAAAGCGTTGCCCGACGAGTGCGTCGCGACGACCGCCCGTCGAGTACGCCGTCGTCGCCGTCGCCGTCGAACGTAGCCAGCGTCGTCGCTTAGCAGGAACGATATTTCTAAAAGCAGCGTGCTCCGTATCCGGGATACCTTTGCGAATAGCTACCTTGGTGGTGTATATTGCGAGCGTGATAAAGGAGACCTATCCGTTCTTGCCGAAGGAGCTTGGAAATAAGCTTTCGCGAACGATGTTTCCACTCTCTTCCCTGCGCCACTTTCGCCTCCGCCTCCTCGCATCTCCCCTTGTCGTTCCATTCCACCCACTCATTTTTTTCATCCAGCCGCAAAGCTAACGCGAGAGACAGATAGTAAAGGATCGAGAACGAGAGAGGAAAAGATTTTTATGAAAGAGGAAGAGGAAGAGAGAGAGAGAGAGAGAGAGAGAGAGAGAGAGAGAGAGAGAGAGAGAGAGAGAGAGAACGTAGGAATATATGAGAAAGTGTGCAATGGATGAGCTACGTGAGATAGACGTGGCAAGAGATGGACGGAACGTTACGAGTCTTCGAAATGTACGCTGCGAGAGCATTTTTATCCGTCGTTCTTGCAAATGACAGAGTTAACATACAAACGCCGGTAAAGCCTCATATTCAGTCGACGTATGGTAAAGGGAGGAAAAGATTAGAAAGGCTAGTAATACGTTCCTGGGAAAAGCGAAAGGAAGAGGAGAGCCGTATACGAAGAAGAGAGCGAGAGGAAGCGGATGAGAAGTGAAGAAATAAAGAGAGATGGAAAGATGGAGTGATTGTGGATTTTAGATTTTAACCCGAGGCGATAGAATATGCGAAGCGTAAGAGGATTATAGCGAAAGAGCGTCAGGAAGAATAAAGGGGCGAAATGGTGGAGGTACCATTTAACGCGGAAAGAAACGCGACGCTGAAAGGATCAACGCTGCCCGTACCACCGTAAAGATGCAGCTCGTTTGTCGTCGGACGCAGGGGATAATTAAAATAATTATCCCTCATTGTGGATGCACACAACGTCGGTTTACAATAATTAGATCGTGGCGATTTACCGATAATGAAATCGGGATGAGATCTCCCGCGGAATTTCATGTTCGAGACCGCAGTGTTCACTGTGATACACTGAAGAACAAGAGAGACTGAAGTGCAAGAGGCGTCACGAAACGATTATCGAGGGAACATAAAGGCGTTGGCATTTGTGATCGCATATCAATATCGATTCGATTAATTTTTTATACGGTGTTAATCGAATCGGAGGCCGTACAAATAATATTAACTTTAGTATTTGATTAATGACGATATTACTCGTCATAAAATAATATAATTGTAACGTATTGTATATTGCACATTGCATTATTTATCATTGTGTTATTGAAGCCAAATTTAAACACGTTATTATTAGTAAAATCTCAATGAAAATAGATTAACGAGTAATACACAGGCATAAGTATTGCTGAAACAAATTATTTTTTATAGTTATGTGTTATGAATAATTATTTAATCGATAATCAAATGAGAATAGCAACAATGTAAAATATTATAAGCATCTCTAGAACCGATCGCAAATTTCTCATGAGTATTTCTCATCATAAATTCGATAGATCGATATTATTAGATATTATTAGATATTCTTCCATCACGTTTCTCGCATATATTACACATCATGTAATATGTCTATGTAAAATGATGTGTACCACCTGTTGACACAGCGATGTACACTCAAAGCGATAAATTCCGTGTGGGAGCAATAAAATGGGGATCTTAACGTACGTAACACAGAATATAATAATCAGACGTATAAGAATGAATGAACGAAAGCAGGCTCGAGGGGCTCGAGATTTTCATG